TTGATCTTTTAAGATAATGTTTTCTATCTGAGATACGTGTTACCACTAATGTATCAGAGGTATAAAAGTGTATGTTTCCACAAATCTGCATGAAAATCTTCACGAGTAAATGAAATCCAGAATATATTTGTCTTATCCCACTTAGGCTTATGTAAATTGTATTTTTATTTAATGATATTTGATATGCAAGAATTGCCCGCCAAGTTTTGAAATATTTCTGAACTACTGTTCATCAGCCAAAAGATCTTTATCTCCTTAACAGCTTTGCCAAAAACAGTAAATTTCTAGCTGTTCAGGATCTCGAGATATTATATATGCGAAGACTTCACGTATATTCTAGCGCCGCGTAGTGAGAAAATTCTGTACTATCGACCAACGAAAAAGTTTTCATCTCCTGGACAACTTTGCCGATGAAAGTTTAGCAGGTCTCGAAATATATCTAATGAGAGAATTGCACGTGGGGACGACTCCGGCGTAGTGGTTAACATCCATACCTCTCACACCAAAGTCACGAGTTCAAATCTCACCCCCGGACAAGTCACGAATGACCCAAGAGTTAACACTCTATAATATATAACTATAATATATATAAAAAAAAAAAAAAAAAAATTGCACGTGTATACAAGTGCAATGATGTAAAAAAATGAATTTCTGTCCACCAGCCAAAAGGCCTTGGCCCCCTGAACAAGTTTGCCGAAGACAGTAACATTCTATTTTTTCAGAACCCCGTGATATTTTATATGTGAAAATTTTACGTGTATACTACCGCCGCTTAGGAAATTCTCAACTATTGTACACCAATAGGCTTTGACCTCCTGAACAACTTTGTCGAAGACGGTAACTTTTTGTCAGGATCTCGAAACAAACCACATGCGAGAATTTCACGTGTATACTAGCACTACGTAGTGAGAAAATTTTGAACTACTGTCCACTAGCGAAAAAGTTATGACCTCTTAAATAACTTTGTCGACCACAGTAACTTTCTATCTGATCAGAATCTCGAGATGTTTTACATGCGAGAATTTCGCGTATATACTAACGCCGCGTAGTGTGAAAATTCTGAACTATTGTGCACCAAGCATAACTCATAAACAACTTTTTCAAAGACAGTAATTTTCGACCTGTTCAGGATCTCGAGCTATAGCATACGCGAGAATTGTACACGTTTACTAGCGCCACGTGGTGAGAAAATTCTGGGTGACTGCCCACCAACCAAAAATTCTTGACCCCTTGATCTCGAGCTATTGTATATGCGAGAATTGGATGTGTATACTAGCCAACCGTCCACCAACGAAAAGATCTTGACTTCCTGACCAACTTTGTCAAAGACATTTACCCTCTATCTGGTCAGGATCTAGTGATGTATCACATGCGAGAACTTAACATGTATACGAGCGCTACCTAGTGAGAAGATTCTGAACAACTGTTCATCAGCGAAAAGGTTATCTCCGATCTCCTGAACAGCTTTGCCGAAGACAGTAACTTTCTATCTGCTCAGGATCTCGAGCTATTGTATATGCGAAAATTGCACGTATATACCAGCACCACGTAGTGACAATTTTCTAAACTACTCCACCTACGAAAAGATCCTGAAAAACTTTGCCGAAGACATTAAATTTTTATCTGGTAAAGATCTAGAGATATTTTATATATGCGAGAATTTTACATGTATACTAGCGCCGCGAAGTGAGAAAACTCTGAACTACTGTCCACCAACGAAAAGGCCTTGACCTTCTGAACAACTTTTCCGAAGACAGTAACTTTCTATCTGGTCAGGATCTCGAGATTGTCTATGTTGTAACCAATTAAGTCAAATCCCACCGTTTATGCGGTTTCCATTCACATTTTCTTTACTATCCGTATTTTTTTAGGGTTAATTGTGATAAAAGTTAAGCTTGTTTAGTTAAAAACAAGTTTTTTAAGGAATACCCGTTGGTTTCATATCGATTGGTAGCTCGGCTGCAAAATTGCAAAGGAAAACTCACACTGTTGTACAAAGTACACCGCGCGAGTACTCGTGTTACAAAAGTTGGCGCGCGTAACGGAGGGTTAAAATGATTTCTTTGGTCCTAAAATGATGAATGGGCCGCACGTAAGCAGACGTGATTGATAATTCTCCCGAATATCCTGGTAAATACACTTTGACTTAAGTAACATTAGAGGGCCACCAAACGACGTATAATAACTTTTGACTCAAAATCCAGTATTTTTAGCATGAAAGCTAGCGATTTGCTTTGTATGATTAAATAAAACCCTGTTTAATATGTTGAATATTGCTATCACTGTGAGATTATATGTGTTTAATTGCTAATAGGAATAACTTTTCGGTCATAAAAACAAAACTTACTTTTTCTCGGATCGGTGCGAATGTTACTTTCGACATAATGAAAATTTGCTCTTGATATACTCTTGGCTCAACTTGAAATCTCGTAAATTCTCGGATCTTTCGAAAGAAAGAATTGCCGAAGCAGAAGTTGTTTGGCTATTTATATAAATAAAATTAAAATCTGATTAGGGCGATACTAAACACATTGATAAATTGGTAGTACGATATATAAAAATGTTTGTATTGAAAGGTGACCTTAACTCCGCATACTTGGAACTCCTGATTATTCCTGCTTCTCCTCTTTAGGTGCTTCAGATAATTCCGATGCTAAAAGTACTCTTGAGATCACCGGAAAAATCCGGTACACTGATAATTTTTAAATTTATACAACTCCAAACATTCTTCCGGAGTCGTTCAAGTCCCAAGAACTGTCAAAAGTCCCAGAACTATCCAAACTGTTAAAATCTTAGATACCCCGACCACTTTACACACATCCTGATTTATCGAAATACCAAAAACATAAGGAACAGTCGGAAGTGCGAGAGCTCTTGAAATCTTAGAAGCTTCGAGACACCTGATACTTAAGGAGCAAGAACTGCAAGAACTTTTGATACTCCCGGTAAATCCCAGAGCTGTGAAAAGCTCCATACTTAAAGCTCCATGTTTTTTCAGGAACTCCATAAAATCCCGGCACATCCGGAACATTAAAATCATTCAAACTCTATTTTGAGAACTAAAAAACGATGCGAGTCCTCGAAGCTCGGATAGTTTTAAGTTCTACGGAAGCTTCAGGAGTTTCTGTATTTGCATGTGTGCTGGAAGTTTTCGGTGCTCCGGAGCTATGACAGTTTTTTTTTTAAATTCCCGAAGAAATAAATCCTCACGAACTACCGATATTAGGGTGGGTCAACTTAACAACCCTCCTGCTCCCGACTGCTCTGTAGATCTGTATTGGGGTCCTGCACGGGTGTGCAGGATACACGAGTGAGCGAGTGACTATATAAGATTGGAACTCATCACCCAAGTAACACATATTGATGGGATTATGTTGAGTAAACTTCTTTACAACTAAAACCAGTCATACAAAGGTTATAGGTTGGGCACACGGTGGTTATGTTGTAATCGTATTGAATACACAATTTGATCGATTATATTTTGGTATCGTATAATAGTACATATTATATCGGATAAAATCGTAAGACTTCAGAAATACAATTTGTTATTGGAGATTAAATCGTATAGGATGTATACAATGTAAATTTAAATTTTCCTCCACTTCTCTACATATTAGTCATTTCTGTGAAAGGTGAACGGTAGACATATATAAAATAACAATTATTTTTATTATCACCAAAAACCTATTATTAGGCTACAACATCATCTGGATGATTTCTCGATGAACATTTCAAATGGTCCTATCTGCTTTGATCGATTCTCTTCATCGACTTTCTCTTTCGTTAATAACTCAGCTGCAAAACCTTTCCCTGTTGTATTTGACGTTTTGGACGCTAGATAAGAACCTCCTTTATCAAACTATGTGGTAGAATTAGCGCGAAATCTGTTTGCATAACAGTGGTTATGAAAAGAGAAAGTCGATGAAGAGAATCGATCAAAGCAGATAGGACCATTTGAAATGTTCATCGAGATTTGTTCATTCCAGAAGAGGAAGTATAGGGTCAACATCGCTTCGCGTGGTGCTGCTGCTTACCCCCAACTGTACTGCCGGTGTTATTTGTTATGCATGGTGATGATAAAAATAAGCACTAAATAAATATTAAACCTAACATCCTTTTTCGTCGACGAGTGCTGGCTTTTATTGAACTTTCCGCTCAAACTGTTTTCCTTCCATCTATGCCACAGGCGGGTGCACTTACTAACTCACTCATTCACTCACTCACTCTCTTCCCCACCACCCGCTTACATCATGGTGGGGGTATATGTTTTATTTTATTATTCGCTTCGCTCTGTACTAAATGTTGCATGTGGAATAATAATGCGAAAAAAGCGCTTTTTATGTGAGCTTTTCAAGTTGTTTGTTTTACGAGAGTAATATGTGTGATGCTAACACGGAGGAGATGCTCGAGGAAGAATTGGGTGCTGTCGGAGGAGGAAAATTCCTTCCTACATCCGACCTTCTTCAGTTTTTTTTTTGTCAATCGACTTCTCCCTGAAGGCACTCACGCGCTTCTCACGGGTGATGGTGGTAGTAAAACGGAATATACTTGTGCATGATACTAATCCCTCTTTTATCCGCTGCTTTCCTATGTTTGTGCTGCTGCTTTTCCTGCATGGCATGGTATGCTTCTTGCTATCCGGATAGAGTTTATTTTATGCTTCACTAACTAGCGAAACAGGATTTGCGAGTTTTTGTCCTTCCTAAAGATTTTCTCCCTTTCCTCTTTCCTCATCCCAGAGAAAATCTGCTCTCGGTCCTAAGGACCAGTGCGGAGAATACGAAAAACGAGCATAAACTTTGATTTATCTTGCTGATTTTCTAATAAAACTTTTTTCCTCTTTCAACTTTTATTTTATTGCTGCTGCGTTCGTGTTTTGACGTCGCTCACCTGACGTTTCGGAACGGAAAAAATATATCTAATTTTCATTTGCGACACGCTGCGCGGTTACGTGCCCTGGAATAATTTGGGAAATTTTTCCGGTGACGCTGAATAAACAGCCCCCGAGGTGGACAAACTGGATAATGTACTGGTGATCGTGTTGGTCGTAGGAGCAGGGGTAACCCTCACGGCTCTGGTCAGCCTGATGTTCGTGATGCTGCGGCGCCGGAAGAGGAACAGCGGAGCTAGGCAAATCTTGCCGGAGGACTCGGTGTGCGGAGCTAGCTATCCCATTCTGAACGGACATACCACGATTCAGGACTTTATCGAGATGACCACTTCCGGGTCCGGATCAGGTGAGTGGAAGTGTTTGAGAGTATGTTGTTGTTGTTGAACAGAATTTCATAAATTTATGCGGATTTGGATGAGTATTAACGATAAATCAACGATGGCATCATATGCCATAAATAGGTTCCGCTACCCTATCATTGTTTGTATTTCCCCAACATTTTCAGACGATCACGTTTTTCGTGAGTCAAACTTCTCTAAAGATTGGCAAAATTCGGTTCAATATGCCAGACAGCGCTGTAATGAGCGGGTAGTGGACGCCAAGGGTGACAAGGCAAAGGGGTGAATTCAAAGAGTTTCTCTTAGCAACTATGGGCCAGAGACAACAAAGGAAGAAGACGGATGTAACAAATTTTCGCTAGGATTTTGCTCCACATTGACATTAGGCCAAATTGAAAAATGTCTATTGATGCAAATATCTTGAATATACAGAAAATTATGACTAGAATATGTTTTTTAAACTCCTGTAGTAAAGTGTTGATAACATTGGCCAGTTGTTTTATTTAAATAGGGCTGTACAGTAAAATGTCATGCATTGTAGCAAAATCACGTTTTTAAAAAATGTCCACAGGCAAACAAAAGTTAGAACACACTTTTAAGTGGATAGACGAGGGTTACACGTGATCTTTAGCCATACATACGAAGCACATTGTGGTCATTAGAGTGGATCATCGTTATATGAAAAAACGCAAACTTTACCTCACCAATCGAGAAAAACCTTTTTTTGATTTCATTTGGGGTCCCAAACAACTGTGCAAAATTTGGGGACGATTGGTTGTAACTCGGCATTCTGCATTGCGTTTGAAATTTGTATGGAAATTAGTATGGGAAAATCAACATTTTTGCATTTTTATCTCTAGAGACCACAATTTTGAATGAACCGTGCAACTAAGTATGCAGCAATTCCATAGAAAAAAGTTATAGTGGGTCTCAGAATTTCATGAAAATTGGTATAGTTCTTCCATAACAAAAAATATTAGACTCGTATTTTTTTTATTGCGCCATTAGGGTGACCATTTCCGTGTTAGGGTGGTCCAGAAAATCATTTTTTTTCAAAAATGTATTTTTTCAAAAATTTATAACTTCTGAACCTCTTGACCGATTTTTAAGATTGACCCTTCAAATGAAAGATGTTTTAATGTAATTTTAAGAAAAATTATGAAACACTCAGAGATATTTGATTTTGTAGGAAAAAAATATGTTACAAATGCTTTTTCTTGATTTTCACTGCGAGGGTCTTCAACAACTTCTTATTTTAGTATTTTTAATTGAAAGATCATTTAATTTTACATAATATATTAAAAATTAGCGATGTCGGAGAAGCAGTTTTGGAGATAAATTTTTTTAAAAATAAAAAATTATTGCTCCGCAATATATGCACCACACGTGCATGGAAACGATGAAGACACAAGGTAGTTCACAATGCGTCTCCATCGAGTCACAGCAGCTGTGACTAATGAAATCTATGAGTAACTTACAAGCTGGGTGCAACATTCAGTTCAGCCTGGAGGCTGTCCATAAACCACGTAGACCAGTTTTTTGATGTTATGTAAAATTAAATGATCTTTCAATTAAAAATACTAAAATAAGAAGTTGTTGAAGACCCTCGCAGCGAAAATCAAGAAAAAGCATTTGTAGCATATTTTTTTCCTACAAAATCAAATATCTCTGAGTGTTTCATAATTTTTCTTAAAACTACATTAAAACATCTTTTATTTGAAGGGTCAATCTTAAAAATCGGTCAAGAGGTTCAGAAGTTATAAATTTTTGAAAAAAGACATTTTTGAAAAAAAATGATTTTTTGGACCACCCTAACACGGAAATGGTCACCCTAATGGCGCAATAAAAAATACGAGTCTAATATTTTTTGATAAGGAAGAACTATACCAATTTTCATGAAATTCTGAGACCCACTATGACTTTTTTTCTATGGAATTGCTGATGTATAAATATAGTCCATGAAGTGCCTAACAACTTTGCCAAAGGAAGTTTGAAGCTATAATGTATCTAAAAAAAGTTATAACTATTCAAATATTTATGATTTGAATTAAACACCAAAAATCCCTTTTGCTGCCAACACTGCCCGTGTACCAATGGGAGTCAGATTCCAAACTGAAATATTTTCGGAGTTTCTTATGAATTATTCAAAAACAATTGCTCTATCTCATATGTGTAGTTTGAGGGGGGGGGGGGGGGTAATAATATACCACGCCCCCTCACTCATATCAATAGAAGTAAAGTCTCAAACTGAAATAACTTCGGAGTTTCTTATCTTATCGATTTCATATGTTCAGAATGAATTCTTCAAACATATTTGCTCAATCTCATAAGCGTTGTTTGAAATCGAGGGGGGGGGGGGTACTCTATAAGAACTTTTAAAACGAAAATTGTTGTAGTGTAAATATTTAATATCCACTTGTCCGTTTATTTGTTAGTGAGGAGATGTTGTTTGATTTATTAGTCCAGCTGCTATATTATTCCTATAAAAAGCTTTTATTTGAAATATTAAATAGCCACCCGCATATAGAAAACACATTTAAAACAACGCTTATTGGGCTTACTTAAAGTGGGCTACGTTTCAGTTGAGCTCCCAAGTCAAACGTCATTTCTAAAAGTGCTGATTCCTTTTCGAAATTTCGACCAACTTCATGCAAAAACCGGCAAACAAGTGGAGTAATGATACAGGTTATTTCAATGCGATACAACGAGTTGCTTCCGATACCGTCAACGATACCGTCAACGATACCGTTGTCAACGATATGGTTGAATGAGGTGTGAAACTAATTTCTGACTTATCAAGAAATTCACCCGAGACCTAGTTCAACAGCAATATTTGCTTCAGGGGATGGAACAGCATCGGAAAGAGTACCTTGAGAAATCGTTGAATATAATAAAATGAAACATAATCATTTCAATCCAATGACATTTGTGTGTGAATATATCTGACATTTTATACTGCACCAAAAGAGTACGGAAGGGAATGGGGGTACTCGCTTTCAAACTGCTCTTATGAGATTAAGCAAATGTTGTTGAATAACCCATCAAAATAACTCGAGAGATGGGAAACTCCGAAGTTATTTCAGTCTTTATGTTTACTTTCATTGATATAAGTGAGGGGTGGAAAGGATACAGTAAGCTCCCCTCCATATCTAACTACGCCTATTAAACGCAGCACATGCTTTTGAATACATCTGAACATACCAACTTGACAAGATCAGAAACACCGAAGTTATTGCAGTTTGAAGCTTTACTTCCATTTATAAAGGGTGTCCACGATGAAATTGCCACACACAAAATTGATTCGCAAAATTCGAGTTTTCATCCGATTGCCATAAAATTTTCAGGGATTGAGAAATAACTATTAAACTTCATTTTACCATTTTACTCGTATTTTATTTACAGTCCATACGCAAATGCCCGCACCTTGGCCTTAACCCCGGCCATAAGATTCTGCACAACCTGTGAATCAACCGTTTTTTGCATGTAAACCCATACTTTCTTCAGTTCCTCGACTGTCTTCACTACCTTAGGTCGTTTAAGAAGGTGCTGCTTCATAATCGCCCAGTACTTCTCGATGGGGCGGAGCTCCGGAGTGTTGGGAGGGTTGAACATTTTCGGCACGAAATTGACCTTATTGTCCGCATACCACTTCAGCACGTCCTTGGAGTAGTGGCATGAGGCCAAATCCGGCCAGAAGATTGTTGGGACGTTATGGGCCTTCAGGAGAGGAAGCAGCCGCTTCTGGAGGCACTCTTTTATGTACACCTGTCCGTTCATCGTGTCCTGGGTCACGAAAGGTGCACTCCGCTTCCCGCACGTGCAGATGGCTTGCCAAACCAGGAATTTCTTCGCAAATTTGGACATCTTCTGAGTGCGGACATGCTCCGGAACGCTGAACTTATCCTTGGCCGTGAAAAACAGGTTGCCGGGGTCTGTTTGAAGTCGGCCTTCACATATGTTTCGTCGTCCATGATGCAGCGCTCAACTTTCGTCAGCATGTTGAGGTACAACTTCCTGGCACGGGTTTTGGTGGACTTGTTCTGCTTCTCGTCGCGATTAGGGGCCTTTTGTACCTTGAACGTTCGAAGCCCAGCCTTAGTTTTGGCCTTCTGGACAAAACTTCGGCTTAGGTGCAGCTTCTTAGCCACATCCCTAACGGAGGCGTTCGGATTTCGGTTGAAGGCCCCAACTACGCGGTTGTGATTTTTGGTGTTGTACGGAATACTTTTTCCTTCACTTCTGGGCTTCCGATCGGTGGTCAACCGTTCCTCGAACCGCTTAATCACTCGCGACACCGTGGAATTCGCGATTCCCAACGTTTTAGCGATGGAACGATGCGAGAGATCCTTGTTCTCGTGATGAATGCGCAAGATTTTATCACGCACGAGCTGTTCTTTCGACTCCATTTCCGCGAGTTTTGATCACAGGACTTTAAAACTTGCAGGATGTAAATAATGCACTATGAACTAAATCCACCCAAATTTTCATTAAATTCTACCCAACGGTTAAAAAGTTAGAGCAATTTCATAGTGTGGCAATTTCATCGTGGACACCCTTTATGAGTGAAGGGGGCGGGGTATAGTTAGCCCTCATCTCTTAGTATGCCCATGAGATTGAAAAATTGTTTTTGAACAATTCATTTGAACATACCAAATCGATAAGATAAGAAACTCCGAAGTTATTTCAGTTTGAAACTTTATTTCTATTGATATTAGTGACATACAGTCAAAATTGGATACCTTAGCAACAAAATTAAGGAATTACACCGATAATGACCATGCGTCAGAACCCTAGTCTTAACCACTTCAAGCTAGGGAACAACGAATAGAAGATTAGGAATCACATAGATGAAGACTAACTCATTTTTTCCTTGTTTCAAGATCATCCTCGGTGGACAAAGCCGAGTCTTGTCACTATCAACAAGGCATGAAAAGTAACAAGGACTAAGATGTGTTCCTTGGATTACTGAAAAATCGTGTTCCCCTAGTTTGAAGTAATCAGGTTTGTATTTGTACTTGATTTGTGTTCGCTGATAACAAATCTGGTGATTTATGGACAAATTTCAAGTTGTGGTTTGCAAAAAACTGCATATTTTATCGCAAAATAGCTTTAAAAAATACGCCTAAATTTAGGCAATAAACATCAGTTTTATATGTTTTATGATACTAAATTGGTCATTTTACTGAAATATGATTTCAGTTTCGAATTCAGCAACCCAAAATTAAGTAAAATAAGTAATTTCGCCAGAATAAATGTTGATTTTGATCGGTTTTTGAGAATCACTTCCACAAACTAGTACATTTAGAGCGGTAGATTGGATCGTTTGCTACGGAAAACGTTTGAAAAGTATTGTTTATTTTATCATACTTAAATCACTATTTTCTAACTCAACAGTAGGTGAAGGTGCATCAGTTATGACACTACTTAATAGTTATACTAATTTTAACCTATGGGATTTAAATTAGGTAGGGGCAGAGTCATAACTGATACCAACTCGATGGGATTGTGCCAAAACTGGTACACCTACCCTACTAGCCCTGTATGCTTAAAATAATGAAAACAAACTTAAGGTACATCATGCTTGGATCACTGCGGAATCGTAGTATGGAATTTAGTTTGTCCTTAATCGGCTAGGAAACAATGTTTCCATCCTTATTATTTCGCTACACTTCAAGTCAATTTGACTCTTCTCGGAGAGTGCTCACCGCAAATGATTAATTGCCCCTTGTGTCGATATTAATTTCCACGCTGCCATTCTAATGCTGACACATGACTCATACCACACATCTTTCGATTGAATCGCTTCTAATATTTCTTATTCTGTGTTTACTTTCTCCCCGCTCTCTCTCTATCTCTTTCCGAACATATTAGCCGGATTGCCACTGCTGGTGCAGAGATCGATTGCCCGTCAGATCCAGCTGGTTGAGGTCATCGGTAAGGGTCGCTTCGGCGAGGTCTGGCGCGGCAAGTGGCGTGGCGAGAATGTGGCCGTCAAGATTTTCTCCAGCCGCGAGGAGTGCTCCTGGTTCCGGGAGGCGGAAATCTATCAGACGATTATGCTGCGGCACGAGAACATACTCGGATTTATTGCTGCTGATAATAAAGGTGATGTATTTGGAGGGGAAGATTTGTTGGGAAAGTTTGTGCTGATGGTGTTTCTCTTCAACCAGATAATGGCACATGGACTCAGCTATGGCTCGTCACAGATTACCATGAAAATGGGTCGTTGTTCGATTTCCTGATGTCACGCTACATCGATACTAAGACGATGGTTGAAATGGCCTATTCAATTGCCACTGGTTTGGCGCATCTTCACATGGATATTGTCGGCACCCGAGGAAAGCCAGCGATTGCCCATCGAGATCTCAAGTCAAAGAACATCCTGGTGAAGTCGAACCTCACGTGCTGCGTTGGTGATTTAGGGTTGGCGGTGCGTCACAATGTGGCCACCGATACCGTGGATATTCCGTCCACCCACCGGGTGGGAACGAAACGCTACATGGCTCCGGAAGTGCTGGACGAAACGATCAACGTGAATCAGTTTGATTCATTCAAGCGTGCCGATGTGTACGCATTCGGGTTGGTCCTGTGGGAAATTGCCCGGCGATGTAACGTCGGGGGCATCTACGATGAGTACCAGTTGCCTTTCTACGACGTAGTGCAACCGGATCCCACGATCGAGGAGATGAGAAAGGTAGGTTCATGGGCGTTTGCTTGAGCGAATAAATGTCAGTTCTAATATTCTACAACCACAACAACAACAAAATAGGTTGTCTGCATCGATCGGCAACGGCCGAGCATACCGAACCGATGGATCGCGTCCGACACGCTGCATTCGATCTCGAAGGTGATGAAAGAATGCTGGTACCAGAATCCGGCCGCCCGTCTTACCGCACTCAGGATCAAGAAAACACTCGCCAACATTCGCTAGAGGTGGGCCACCCGGGATCCCTCGTGGGTCTAATCTACTACAACTACTATTACTACTATTACTATTACTACAACTACTACTCCAGCAGCTTTTAAAAGGTGACCCGAAGAAGTTGAGATGAGGTGAGAACTTCCGGTCAACACATGAACTCTCGATTTAGGAATTAACATACACACATACACTTTTTATAGCCGGTAAGGATGATCTTTAGGTTTAAGGTGAATGCTGGAGATAATGAGTTTAGGTTGCTCCGCTAGTGGTGGAGCGAGTATTTGCGTGAGCTGACGATGAATGCGGGGGGAATGCGAGTGATAAATCTAGTTGTGTAAGTTTACAGTTTATTGTAAATGTATAAAAGTGAACAGCTAGTGTAGCAAAAAGGTAGCCGAGCAGATGAGAATTAGGTTTAACGGAAAATTGAAAATCTGATCCGTAGTTAAGCGTGGATACCATTTTTTGGTAACAAACACTGTCCGTACGTACTATCAAATCAATCGTCGATGTTTGTGTTTAGTTTGTTTTTTTAAATTATGGAAACTGGTTGACCGATGAGCGTTGAATGGTTGATTTTTATTGTGAAGCCTTAGGTTCAGAGCAGATGCATATAGTAATATATTATTATTATTTATGTTTGTCAACTTTATTTATCACACACACACTTGGTGCATTTTTTTTCGGGGGGCTTGAAGCCCTATCGCATATTATGCATACAACATTTGTATACACACACACACAAACACATACTATAGTACCAATCAGTAGCAAACATTAGTGGAAACCGCATAGTGCTGCGAAAAGTGTAGGAACGTAAGAAACCGGAAGGCAAAATCGGGAATGAAGTGTTAATGTGTCTAGTATAGTTTACATATCTAGTTTTTCCTCATACTATTTTTCCTCACGCATATTGTGGATTGTATCGGATGTTAGGATTTAGATTTGATTGGATCATGTTGATGCAAGGATAGTACCTCCATTTACACAGTTTATGACGAAAAATCCTCAGATGAAATGAACAATGCAGATATATTGGATGATTGACTGTAAAAAAAAACTTATGGAATCGAGATTGAAGCGTATTTCTTCCATACAAAAACGAGTGGTTAAATATTGCGTATTATCAAACTTATTTTCAGAGGAAATGTTGAACACGGAGTGGAAGGGTTTATTTAGCAATTATTTTTCTTCTTCATGTTTATTATGGCCAATGTTACGCCTGCCTTCAACTTGGAGTTATTTGAGCACGTTGTTAATTGAGAGCTGGTTTTTCTTTGTAGCTGCACCTTTTATAGGTTGAGCTTCGAAAGGCCTTTTATATAAAAATACGCTTTCAAAATCATCTGAGCGACTTACAACAAAAGGAATTGCAAAAATGGCAATCTTTTAAACAACAATTTACAATCTTCATTGCAACAGAGGATGGAAATGTAGCCCCCCCTCCCAATACTTTGTTTGGTCATTCTTATGTACAATGACTTGTCTTATAGTTGTATGTATTAAGCCTGAACATTGTACAAGAAGTTAATATTTTTTAATATTTATAAGAAAAATTACGTTTTACAATTTTGCTTTTATCATCCCCGTTTATATATCTACCCAAAAATAATTTCGTAACAAAATTCCCATAATGACGCATTTCGCGCCAAATCGTATTTGGAGCTGGCAGCCCCCTTTAAGATTTCAATTAAACTTTCTGGATTTGTGGACCTTGACTAAATAAGCCACTTTGCATATACTTAGTTTTTCCAAAATTTATCTAGAATAACCTTAAATAACTTTTTTTGCCGATTTTTTTTTTCAAAAAAATTTTATGGAAAAATGACAACTCCTACAAAAATGTGTTGTATGGATTACTTTTAGGAAATTTTCTAACTTGGAAAACTTTGACAATTTACTAAAAGTCATCCATACAACACATTTTTGTAGGAGTTGTCATTTTTCCGTAATATTGTTTTGAATAAAAAAAAACTGCAGAAAAAGTTTGGTCCTTCTCAAATGTTAGTCTAGATAAATTTTGGAAAAACTGAGTATGCAAAAGTGCTTATTTAGTCAAAGTCTACACATCCAGCTTCGATTCGATTTGACGCGAAATGCGTCTAATGCGGATTTCGTTTTAACCCTCTCCATCCCAGATGGTTTTTCATTGTTTTGATATGAAAAAAATGTATTTTTTTAGAAAAGTGCTAGAACAAAAGATGTTCTATACAGTTTAAATGATCGAATCCATAAAACGAAATTTTGTTTAAAATCAATAGTATTATTTTTTTCAAACGTAACTCAGTTGAATTATCAAGAATTAATATAGGCGAGAATAATAACCACACGGAAAAGCTTAAATAAGTACTGACTATTTAATGGTTGATTGACAAACATGAGATGCACCGAATAGTTGTAGATCACCTGTGCTACCATGGAAAAGAAAGGGATCTTTAAAGGGAAGTTGGAGATCAAATTGAAATCAAAATTTGCTGTTTAGATGTAACTTATTTTGAATACTCCAGTAAATTTCATTTTGGTTGACTTAACGGTTAAAGAGCAACATTTTACACTGTTAAATCAAATGGAAAACTTATCCTGCTTCTAATGAAATCAATTGGATTACTGATGTTGCATTTATAATATTTAACTGAATACAAGCCTGGCGTAAATCGTTAGCATCCATAGCATAACATATGCTTAATTTAATTTATTTTCATTGCCTATGATCCCGATATATAACCAATTTTCTGAGGTTTTTTGCGTTGCCTTGCGTTGCGTTTGTAACGGAGTAATTCGTAGATTGCATAATGGCAACCGTCACGTATCTACTTAAACGTTTTTATTCTAATTGCTTAAGGAAAACTATTTGGAAGTGAATAGCTCTCCAGAGTTCAGAATAGGAGAAGCATGACAATTACCATTACCGACCACGTCCATCTTCTTCGTTACGGAGAAAGGAAGGATATTGTTGATGTAACATCTACTTAACGGGAGGTCAGCGACTCAACGACGCCCCTTTACATGCTACGGAGTTGGATAGTTGGGTAGGAGATGGGTTAGGATTCGCTTAAGCAGGCAATGCAACCATAGTAATTGTTTTATTTTGGAGGAGGCTGGGAGTAAACCCACGATCCTCTACTCAGTAAGCAAAAGCGGCTGCCACCCAGCTAGCCGAACTCCTCAATTCTAATTTTGGGACCTTATTTGGTAAAGTTAAAGTTTATAAGAATGTTTATTGAAATATAATGTAAGCAAATAAGATGTTACATACGGATTCATGGAAATGAAGTTTGAGTAGAGGAAATGACGGCTTCGGCATGACATACTATTTTCGGCAACCCAAATTAAAACGCTAATTTAGCTGGATTTTCTCACGAAAACACTTCGCTGAATGCATTCAAACGATTCTCTAGGCTTTCAGCTTCAATTTGATTACATTTTTCCCACTGAGAAAAAGTAATCTAGCAGGGTTTTCTTGAAATGAAATACACGCACTACAAAATGCTGCTGATTTCGAGCTGCCGATGAAAGCACAGCCGTTTAACACGCAGCTCAAATAGAAAGGTTGCCGAATAAAAAGATGTTGCCCACAATAGTCGCTCTCACTAGAGAAGATTGGAGCTTTGTAAAAACGTTTCAAAACAATTTTTGACAATTCTTTCGAATGAAATTGTTAGAGCAGCTGGCAGCAAAAGGTTGTAAACAAACCAATACTGCATATGTGTGCGTTCCTTAGAGAAAAAGACTATAGAAAGATGATCGCTGCTTAGGTTGCCGAGAATACGTAAATTCCCCTAGATAAAAGTAGAAAACAAATACAATCTCACCAAATTAGTCCAACTGAATCCGTAGCAAGCAGCCCTGTCACGGTTTGTATAGCAGTTCCGATCACAGACGGTCTGCCTTACGGTGATCAAGTAGGTACAGCACGAACGGGAATGATGGGACGTCACAAGCCTGATGGAGCACTTTTGAAACTGCATGTCAACGGCACCCATAGGGCCGTAGAACCAGTATACGTTCGGGGACGGGATGCAGCACTCGTAAAAATTTCACTTTAAGCTTTCAGTCGTTAAATTAGCTTCAGTCATTTTGAATGGATGTGCAATCGAAAATATATGTGAATAAAATCCAAAAACAAGACGAACGTCATCTATAACAAATTTGGTGAGGTTTTGAAAAAAAACTCTGGTTCTAATAACCTGGCTTCTTTATTGTGTCATCTTGTTGAAGATGTTGAAGATGTTGAAAAATAGTCCAGCAAACTTTTCAAGCTCTAGAGATTTTTTGAAGACTTGAATTTTGAAAAATCTTAAATCTTAAGTATCTGTCCAATTGTCGAAAAACCTTGTAGAAGAATCATAAGTTTTTTTAAGTTCATCAAAATGTATTTCGGAATCAAGAACTGTCCAATCCCAGATTTTACAAAAATGCTATGTCCAAGCCCATAAAATCTTTTCCATATTTCAGAAACATTTAAATTTTTTTTACGACTGATCTTACATTCTCACATATCGAAAATAATTCCAGGCTTTCTAAATTGGTTTGTATTAGAGATCGTGAATTTCAATGTCCTAGCATTTATAAAACGACCAATATCTCTAACATTTATCCCAGAATCTTACAACCTTTTTCAAGATCGAGATTTTGAATCATAAACGCATGTAAATTTGTCTATTTCGGTGATAGTTCCAAGTGGGAAAATTTCCTCGTCTCAGAATAATGAGATTTTTTCTTAGACTACAATCTAGAATAGTTTTCTAGGTTCCACAGTTGTAAAAAAAAATTTTTTTTTAGGAGTTATAGAAATTTCTGTATTCGAGATCTTTAAAATTTCTTGTTTTAAAATTGCCAAAATTTGTTTAAGTTCGAGACTCAATTTTCTCTATGGCTTAATTTTTCTCAAGTCGCTGATTTCCTTAATAACTTTCTATGGTCAATTTTTCACATACAGAAATTCATTCCAATAACCAATTCGCGATCTGAATCTAAATTCAATTTCATTCTAAATTAGTACTGAATGGTGAAATAAACCAACACACTCAAAGCTCTTCATATCTGGATTCCGTTAAGAGGTTCGACAAATTTAATGAGTGTTAATAAGTTTTTAATATTTCCGATCAATAAATGTCACTATTGGTCACTTTTTAATTGTTGTTAAGTCACTATTTTCATAATTTTAGTCACTTCGTTTCTATCAAATACCCACTACCCTAGCCCTGAGATATGCATTGCATTAAGATGTATGCATTACTTAGAATACATTATCAGGTAAACATTTCTGTGCCTATTCTCGATGAACATTTCAAATGGTCCAATCTGCTTTTATCAATTCTCTTCATCGTATTTCTCTTTTGATAACCACTGCTATGCAAACAAATTTCGCGCTAATTTTACCACATATAGTTTGATAAAGGAGGCTCTTATCTAGCGTCCAAAATGTTAAATACAACAGGGAAAGGTTTTGCAGCTGAGTTATTAACGAAAGAGAAAGTAGATTAAGAGAATCGATCGATGCAATTGTACATTTTGATTGGTTTAAACATTCGTAGTTTTGGAAATGAAAGCTCTACCATAGACCTAGAGACCCATTTTAAGAATGACTGATACACGTGCTTTCTAAAGTCACTCTCACGTTCAATAAACGGGCTGAAGTGGGGCTGAAGGTGTTCGAAGGAATCATTTGTTTTATGCTATTTGAATACAGCGTCTATTGGGCCAATCGTCCATGATGGTTGTGTCAGATGGCATACATGTGCGGGATACCCGCATTGAGGGTCTTCGACATCAGAAAATCGTCATTTAATAATGACCAGAGGCGCGTCCACGTTCAAAGATGTGGGTGAGATAAGGTACTATGGTCCCCAAGGTTGCAAAGACTCATTTCAGCTAAAACAATGTTTTTCTAAATTATGAAATAATTAGATGCCATGATCAAATTTTGAATTGGTAGGATACAAGAAGAGGTTGCAAAGAATGTGTTTGACATATTAAACCTGTTTATTTCACTTCATGAGAGTCACAGTCAGCGATTTTTCACAAACTCACTCACTCACTCACTCACTCACTCAGCGATCAGCAAATCGCTGATTGTGACTCATAGAAAGCAAAATTTACAGGTTTTATGTTTCCAACGCATACTTTGTAACCTCTTCTTGTAAGTTACAAGTAAAACATGCCATCATACCATCTTTTGGTTTTATTATTCCGAAAAACATTATTTTAGCTGAAATGAGTCTTTGCAACCTTGAGGTCCCATGAAACGCTTTTGAATATTGTTGAATCGATCAACTGATTCCGGAGACATGACCGGAACATGATCTAGTCTGTATGAGCCATAAGACTAAACCCACCCTGAAATCAATAAAACCCATCATGTGACACATAAGCAAATGAGATAAGAATTCAAAACCCAGGTCAATGGTAGCCACCCAGGACCACACTGGCCACATCTAGACATGTTCCGGGTAAGTGGCCTGACTAGGGTCAAAATCCATCCTGTGATACCTTAAATCACAAGAGAATAATTCTGAAGTGTGAATTATTCATCACCTATCACCTATCACCACACATCATATCAGTAGTTTTGTCGGAATTACTATAAGTAAGAAGTGACAGATCTCACCATAGGTGGATTTTATCTATGTACTCTTTAAAATCGTGGGTAGGACAATGCTTCAACATTGTCCTATTCAGGTATTTTTGTGCGTAGGACAAGTCCCACCCACTCCACGCGCCTCTGATAATGACTGT